TTTAAATGTCTAATCATCAATTCCTTGTCTTGTACATAAATGAAGGAGAAAAGTTGTGTGAGTGAGTAGTGCCTTGATATGATTATGAGCAGTAATAGTTTGTGCTCGAAACGTGGTCGCATCAGTTAATGCTACTGTACAGTATAGCAACGCAACACTGTGTGATGAGTTTATCAAAATAAAATCTTATCTATCTATAATGGAGTTATATTCTACCACCAGAGTGTCCAAGTTTTATACTTATATTAATGAAACTGTTTTTTGAGTTTTCGTGAACAATCCTAACCAGTGGGTGTATCAGTCACGTTAATGACACCACTGTACTGTTTTCAAAGCTTTGTTCTAAGTAATTTAGACATCACTGCATAACCAAATGGACATCTCCACTTAAGGTTAGATGACAACTTGGAAATAATATACAGCATTTTGAGGACAGCGAAATGCTGTATATTAAATTATATATTATATTATATTATTATATACAAAGATAAAACAGAGGTGATGAAGATTCCTGACCAACACCAACAGCAACAACAACAACAGACGACAATCAGCCAGCATGAATGGGAGGAACGTGAAAGAAACAACCTCCTTCACCTACCCACCTACCTGGGAAGCATCGTTTCAACTACAGGCCGGCGGAACTGACGAGGATATCAAAGCCAGAATCGGAAAAGTAAGACAAGCTTTCATTACTCTCAAGTCTGTGTGGAGGTCAACAGCACTCTGCATCAAAAATAAGATCCGGATTTTCAACTCCAATGTGAAGTCAGTGCTCCTCACCATACGGATCAGAGACTTCGCGCCATTTCATAAAGAACATCTCAAACAAACTACAGACCTTCATTAACAGTTGTCTTCGGTCAATACTCAGTTCAAGATCAGATGGCCGGCCAGAAAAGATCAGCAACAGGGATCTCTGGCAACGAGCGAACCAACCCGGCAGGAGCAGATTGTGAAACAAATAGACAGGAAGAAATGGGGATGGATTGGCCGGCCATACTCTGAGAAAACCATCAAGTGAGTGAGATCACTAGACAAGCCATTGCTCGAGTGGAACCCGACAGAATGGGAAGCAACGAGTTGGTCATCCCACGATGGGGTGACTTGGAGGAGGTCATATGAAGAGTAGATGAAAGAAAGCATGTTGGCAGACTTGCAGCGGGGTGAAAAAGTTGGCAATAAAACAGAAGGTAATGGAGATGCGCAGCTGAAGTCCTATGTTCCTCTAGCAATTAAAGGATATAATAATAATAATAATTTTGAGGACAGCATTTTGATTGGTCAGGTCAAGGTGAAAGTTGGGAAATAGACAAATAGGAATTAAGAAGGTGTTAAATAATTTATTACTATTACTTTTATACAATAAATGACGATAGACTTTATCCTGATACTCACGTGAAGATATATGTTCAATCATTTATTTATGTATTCATTCATTTATATTCTATATTTCCGCCCTTAATATACAGAAAAAATATATATATTTATATTATATTCAATATCGTTTCTAAGGGCGGAAACAATGAGAACTTTTAAAGATGGAGAGAGAATGGAGTTTTCGTGTGTGTGTGTGTGCGTGTATAGGTGAGTGCGTCAGGTAAAACATTGTTAAGGTCACTGACAATTTGGTAACAACACACAAGGTTGAAAAGAAAAAGGTAAATTCAAGAATTCAGTACACAATTCAGTGTTGGTGAAGAGTTCAAACAAAAAAATAACACCCTCTCAGAGTCTCAACCACTGAGACTATACTCTGTCATGGAGTTGTGAAATAGCCAACCGGGAAAAACTCAGTTGTTTGTCTTTTCAGACAAGAGTATAGTCAATCATCGTTGAAGGTAGTCAATAAGTTTTTACTTGAACAAGTCTTATGCCTTATCAGTTTACGGAGTCGAGATTGAATAGAATGTAATTCCACAAGACTGACTATTTTGTAGTTACACAAAAACACTCTATTTCTAATGGAATACAGCAATGGCATGCCAAGTATTCCACAACGGGAAACTCATGGAATCCTTCAAAGTGAAGATGGAAGTAAGTACAAGGCTAGCTGGCTGGCTGCCTACTATCTACAATGATTCATTACCTGATTGCGGTAGACAGGGTAGTGCGACAGACAGACAGACACATAGCAGGCCGGGCAATGAGGAAACAGGCATAAAATGGACTGACGCAAAAACCTGGAGAATCTGGATTTCGCCGATGTAATATATATATCTGATCAAAAGCAACAAGATGGCGGCAGAAGCATCCAGAGAAGATAGGCCTTCAGCTGAACATAGAGAAGACAGAGGTGATAATGAAGATTCCTGGTCAACAGCAACAACAACAACAGACAACAATCAGCCAGCCCAAATGGGAGAAATGTAAAAGAGGCAACCTCCTTTACCTATTGACCTATTTACTTGGGAAGCATTGATTCAACTACAGGCCAACGGAATTCATGAGGATATCAAAGCAGCGACTAATGGGAAATCAAGATAAGCATTCATTACTTTCAAGTCTGTGTGGAGATCAGCACTCAGAACTCAGCATGAAAAATAAGATCAGGATTTTTAACTCCAATGTGAAATCTAGTCAGTGCTACTGACTATACGGATCAAAGACTTGATACTGCACCACATCACGAAGGCCACTTCGAACAAACTACACACCTTCATCAACAGATGTCTTTGCTCAAGATAAGATGGCCAGCCAGAAAACATCGGCAATAGTGGGGGATCTCTGGCAACGAACGAACCAATCCAGCAGAAACCAAGTGTGCAGCAAATAAGTAGGAGGAAATGGAGGTGGACTGGACATACTCTGAGAAGACAAACCGTCAAGTGAGTGACATCACACACTATTGCTCAAGTGGAACCCCAGTTGAATGGGGAGCTGCGAGTTGGTCGTCAGTGTGAGGGTGACATGGAAGAGGAGGTCATGCAGAGAAGAGGAGATGAAAGCATGTGGGCAGACGCAGAGCCAGGTGATGAAAACGTTGGCAGAGAACTGAACGCAATGCAGACAAATGTAGACAATTCTGAATTATATCACCCATATTCACTACTGACTAGTTCTTAACCTTCCGAAAACCTCAGTCGGACAGCCCACATCTTCCTACTTGTCTAGCTCAAACCAACTATCGAAGACTTCATGAATTATACCAGGTTTTGGTTCAATCACACTCCTAAATCTTTTCACATCTAATCCTATGCCAGCTAACATTTTCCTTGGAGGAAGGTGATGACTCGGAATACGCAACACATGTTCTAGCCACCTCAGTCAATTTGCCTTCACATCTTCATCGATTAATTTACCCTCCTTACCTAATACTCTATGCCTTACCTTAATATTACTCATTATATCCCATCACTTAATAATGCAGATAGAGTCGAAGAACGTGAATGAGCTGTCAGAAGACACGACATGTATTCTATTAATATCAATGTATGTTGACAACCTTGGGAACCGATTTTAGAGGGGAAATACAGGGAATTCAAAGAAGCTCGGCACTCAGTGAAAGAATTTCAGAGACTAACAGATAAACTATTATTAATTGGATTTTGTCAGCTTATGAAGAATAGGGCACGTGATAATTAAAAGAGTTGAATTCATAGTGAATAAGTCCCTAAAACAAGACTGAAGAATCATGCGTGGAAGACCATTGGAACTCTCTGAAGGTGATTTCTAACGAAACGTGTCCAAAGCTTTTAGGAAAAAAGAATAGACAAGACAAGGAATGGCTCTCAACGGACACTTGAAAGCTGATAGAGGAGAGGAGAATGGTGAAAGAGAAAATGATTCAATGCAAAGACGGACGAGAGAAACAGACGCTGAGTTCAACTTACACAGCACTGGACAAAGAAGTGAAGAATAGTGCTAAGAAGGACAAAAGACAATTCTACGACAACCTGACCACTAAAGCTTACTTCATCAACAACTGTCTTCGCTCTATACTGAGGATAAGATGGCTGGGCCGGAAAGAATCACCAACTATCGGAAACTATGGGAACAAACAAAAGAAGAACCAATCGCCAACCAAAAAATATGCAGGAGAAAGTGGAGATGGATTGGACACTCACTTGCTGAGGGGGCCGCTGGGTGACATCGCGCGAGTGTCAGGCCATTGCTCGAGTGGAACCCGAAAGAGAAGCTGCGAGTGGGACGTCGGTTCAAGGGTGACATGGAGGAGATCGTGTGAAGAGGAGTTGAAAGAGTATGGACTAACATGGATTCAGGTGAAAAGTACAGCAGAAGGAAGACAAAAGTGGCAAGTGGAGACGTGCAGTTGAAGCCCTATGTTCCACTAGGAACCCAAGGGAATAATAATAATAATAATAAGTCCCCAGAAACAATCTAGTACGGTCAAGGATGAGTAAACTTCAGTCTTTCGCTCGTAATATTCTCATGTGGACACGCGCCTCCACAGTCTCTGCCACAAGGATGTTCCTTACAAAAATGAAAAAGAGAAGATGAACATCTGGCGCTTATAACCATACTAGTCGCCATGCTGGTTCACACGCAAAAGAGCTACAGAAACCTGATTCCAAACCAGTGTTGTGTACACCGGGTTTCAGAATCTGAAAGGATCGCATTGTATATGAACCTGTTTTTGACACAAGCAGCCATCGGAAAATAGCTCTTGACGCTACTATTCTGTCTTGTGGAATAGACATCAAGTTACTGACTTGAAGAGTTACCCTTAAGACAACCAACTAATTCTATGTGAGCGTCCCAACAGTATCCTAGCCCTCGTAACGACTATGATATTTTGTGTGGTGCATCTTTTGGTGCCTGTAATGCAACACGTTTGTGTCTTAATAGGGAGTTCACTTCATATTGAAAAAGACTATGCGCTGAAGAGATGCTCCCTACAAGGGGGAAATGATGAATGCTTCAAAATTAAACAACCGCCCAGATGAAAGCACGCAAACACATAAAGTATTTACATACATCATGCAAATATATATATATATATATATATATATATATACATACATACAAGTATAACTCACTTTGGACTGATGATGTGATTTCGACGGGTAGACACCAGTTGAATTTATCTCCTGTTTCACTCGTTGTATCTCATTTTTATCATTTGTCAAGGTAGTCCGTTTATCTTTATTCCTATTGGTCAATGTATTCATATGTTGATTTGATGAAAATGCTGTGAGTGAATGAGATGTATTCATTTGCATATTATTATTATTATTATTATTATTATTCTGATTATTCGTTTGTTGATTCGATTTAATTTGTATTGGTTGAATATATTTCAGGTATAATGATTTACCTAGTTGGATAATTTCATCTTTTGGGATAAGAATAGGACCTGTTACACGTGTGCCATTGACACGAATCAATGCTGGTCCAGCTGGTTTGGCAAAACCATCTAATGATGGTGTTAAAAGTAAAGAGAATTTTGTGCAATTTTCTAAATCAAATGTTGATCCAGCTTTGGGTAATTTCCATTTTGGTGGACTGTTTAACAGTGTGGTAGTAGAAGAAGATGTTGTGGTTACTGGTTGTGGTACACTTGGACTGTTTGTAGTTATGACAACACAAAATGTACAATGAACTGGTCGAATGTCAGGATGTTGATTCTAATTTATTAAAAGTATACATTGAAAGTAAATAATTATTAATATAAAATACACTATAAAATAATTATCAGTAATTAGATATGTATTTCATTGGAAACTAAATTAACACAAGATATAGATAGATTTTATGAACACATCAACTCGAAGATAGGGGCGATTCAATTCACTTATGAATTGGAAAGTCAGGAAGGAGAGCTTCCAATGTTAGATTGAAACGTAAAAAGGAAAGAAGATGGGAAGTTAAACACACTAGTGTGTTTACAGGAAACCTACATCCACATTCAAACAGATATTTGTACTTCTGATCATCCTATCCCATATCAGTAAAAAAAAATATGATTGGTGAAAATGTTTAAGTGACAGAGCACAAAAACTAAGTAGTACCCAGGAAAATCGAAGACAGGAAGTGACACACATAAAAGAAGCCTTGAAAATTAATAATTACTCGGATAAATTTTTTTTTCCTTCACGTTCCCAATCGAACATAGGGCTTCAAGCAAAAGGCTTGACGTTTCTGTAGCAGTTTATTTTTACAGGATGAGGTTTCTCGCCTCATGCCCAAACGTTCCCCTTTACCCACTTTTTTATTACTGGTTTGTCGAGGTAAGGGAGTGCGTCGGTCGGGGATTGAACCCCGTACCATTTGCATGGTCGGCAAGGGTCCTAACCACTATGCCACCGACGCACTATCCGGATAAATTAGTCAGGAAATATGTAAGGAAATGTAAAAATAAAACAAATAATGGTAGAAGCGATAACGATAATAATAATAATGATAATAATAATAGTGATAAAAATAATAATAATATTAATGACAACACCAACAATAAGGAATCTAAATCATCACTAGTAATTCCATACAAGGAAGGAACCTCGGAAACCTTAAGCAGAATTCTTAACAAGGCAGGAATCTGTCTGTCTGTTTGTTTTCGACATAGAACTCTGCACAAAAGTTTGGCAGTTCAAGTCGTGACACTCACTCTCTCGTTGTAGCACACAAAGCAAGAGAAGAAAGTAAAAGAAATGCATGATAGAGAGAGTAAACAGAGGTGTGAGACAAAGGAATGGTAGTAACGGAGAAAAAACAGTTTCATTGGAAATCATAAGTCACATGGAGTGAATGCATCTGCACCATGGACAACGATCACTTTGAGCCATATCACCGATTGTTTCCAACCATTGATCTTTACCGTCCCGAGGACCCCAACCAGGAAGTCTACACCTTTCTACATGGCTTAGACTAACTGCTGTAGACTTCATTGACTGGTACCATGTTTTTGTTTGACCTCCGCCAGCTCTTTTCCAGACTGACCCTATATCAGCTAACATTACCCATTGTCGAGGAAAGCGATGACTAGGCATACGTAACACACGTCCTAACCATCTCAGTCGATGTAACTGCTTCACAACCTCGTCGGTTGATTTCCCCTGCTTACCTAGGGGAAATAAAAGTGGCTGGCGTTCAAACCACCCACAAACTCAATTAGAAACAAGCTTTGTCAGTTAAAGCATCTATCCTGTGGAGCCTGTAAAACAAAACAATTTAGTCTGCCTAATACCCTACCTGCAATGATTGTCAGGTAAAATGCATAGGTCAGAGTAGTAGAACGGGGACAGTCAGTCAGACTAGCCGAACATAAAAACCTAGCAGCAAAATCTAGATTGGTTGACCCCAATCAGAAAAAAATCTACAGAATAGTTCAGCTATACCACTCACTGCATGCAATTATACACAACCATACAATAGGATGGGATGGGATAAGATGGCAGTTTTGAAATCTAATGTAACAGCAGGGTGGAGGGAGAGATTGATAACCGACTGAAGCCTTGTTTATCGAATCGACTGCAAATACGTGTAATAGGAATGATTCAACACCTGTCCAGGTGGATATCAGAAAAAAATTCTACTATCCGTACGACGACAAATGTCACAGGGTGGCAGGAGAGATTGATAACAACGGAAGCTTTGTTCATCGAATCAACTGAGGAGAATACGTGTAATAGGAATGATTCAACACCTGTCCACACGGATATTCTACTACCGCTATGACGACAAATAGGAGAGAACTATAAAACTCAAGTTTCGAAGTCGTGTAATTATAATTGATTGATATGATTATGAAACAATGATGAATAGTGTTTCAAACTGTGTCATCCAGTATGTAATAATACTGTTTCACTCACTGTGTGGGGATACATCGAATAAACAAACTAATATGGAATTACTTACTACCACAGTGCCCAAGTTTTACATCCTAGTTGTACATTACGCCAACTACCGATGCAAGTTACAGAACCAGGTAAAACCAAAGAGGACTTATGTCACCCTGGTTTATTATTCCCTTGAGTTCCGAGTGGAACATACAGCTTCAATAGCAGATCCCCTTTTCGTCTTCTTCTTTCCAGTCGTCTTTCACTGACTACACGACTGCTCACTAGCAATCTTCTGAATATCACCCATGGGTCTATGCCCAACTCGTCATCTCAAATTCTTGTTCCACTCAAGGACTTACCCTGTGTACGTGCGTGTGTGTGTGTGTGAGGTCACTTAACAGTGCTGTTAGCGTGTGTATCCAAGCCATCTCCATCTTCCTCTGAATATTTTTTTTTGGTTTCACTGCTATCGGTTTCTTGATGCTAATTCTTTCTCACCAGCCATCTGGTATTCAATATCAATCCTACGAAGGCGACTGTTGATAAAGGTTTGTGGCCTGTTTGAAATGCTTGTTGTAATTTTTCAAATCTTCGATTTCAAAGGAATGGAGGTCTGTCTTCCATTTCCCATTCCTATCCATGCCACCTGTGAAACAAGGGGCCTGGTTAAAGTATCTCCTGTCTGTAGTGATTGATGTTTGTTATGGCTGGTTGGTTATCTTTGTTACCTCCGTCTTTTCTATGTTCACTTGAATTTCTGTCTTCTATGCTTCTTCTTCTTCTTCTTCCAGGTTGTTGGTTTTCGTCTGTGATATGTATCCACATATATATATATGTGTGTGTGTATGTTGGTCTCTCTTTCTGTTTGCTGTCTTAGTCTGTGACCATTTCACTTGTATGAACTTGTCTCCTTTAACAATGTATATTCTCCTTATATTATATTATATATAATATGAGTGTTTGTTGACAGTCCGTTGCTTGGTGACATATATCCATATATGGTGGTTGTTGACATGTCTGCTATATTTCGCTATGTATATATGGATTGATACTTCATTATAATTAGCCATTCATGTTAAGACTGTCTAATGATTTGTTCACACACTTTGTCTGGAACATTCATATATATATATTTCGCATTCACAATTTGACTGACTTACTTACTTCTTTTGGTGCGATACCACTTATTGCATTCACCTTGTGTTTGGGAAAATAGAAGTATCACCGAAAACCTAGTGGTCTTCTGATTTCTGCCTTCTTGCGTCAGGACTATTAAATAGCTCGACCAGTCCATAACAATTATTTTGTCGACGAGTACATAACAGTCTGTAAGTCTTCAAATTTGTGTTAAATAAAACTTAAATTGTCAGATCTAGAGTCTCCTTATCGGTAGTCCAGCGTATGCCTATTTTCTCGCTTCCTACAGTCTGATGCGTAAACCAGTCGACCACACTCAGAAATATCATTCGTGATAGTAGGCAGCCTTGTCTTACTCCAGTATTCAATTCGAAGGCATCGCTAAGCCATTGTAATACGGATGTTGAATAAGGTTGATAAATGGCTACGGACGGCACTATACTTTGTGATGTTGCAGCAGTTTCCAAATCATTTTGTCTTCAACACTGTCGAAGGCCTTTACAAAGTTGAGATAGAGATTTGACTACTATTCTGGGTGTGGTTTAACGATGATGCGTAGAGTTGGTCTACTCATAATTTGCCTTTCCTGAATCCAGCTTACTCCTGGTTGGCGGCGTTCTTCATCCATAGCACCTTTTAATGTCTCCAGAATGACACTTGGGGTGGGCAGGAGCATGGTTCTGTGCCAGTTCTTGCAAAGACTTCACCCTAATTCGGGACTTTTCATCAGTGCACAGACACGATCTTGTTAAGGATCAAACTCAAGACTCTCAGGTTCCGACGCAAGGCGGTTGACTCTCCAGCTATATCTCTGTCATTTCGATATTAGTTGCTCTTTGAATCCCTCTATTGGTCGTCTCATATCTTGTTGATTTCTAAGAAACATTTTCTTTCGACTTTCTGGCATAACTCAGCGTCTTCTCTTGTTGTTTTTTTTATTTCTTTACGTTCCCAGTAGAACATAGGGTGCCTTCAAGCTAGAGGCTTGAGGTTTTTGATTAGCAGTGGTATTTATTTTTAGGTGATGTAGTTGCTCGCTTCATGCCCAACCTTCCGCCTTTACCAGCATCTTCTCTTACAGTTTATGACTCCATGAATTCTGCCTATTCTTCTCTGTTTTCAACCCCATCCCACTCATTGTTTCCTGGACTTCTCAAAAAAAGACTATGCCATATTACGTAGAACACTGAAGGCTGTAAGCAGAGTTGATAGGCACTTTTATTTTTGAAGGCGTTTGGCTAGAGGTTGTCTTTTTCTATATGTACACTGAATATCCTCTTTGTAATTCACAACTTTCTCCTTGTGTCTCTTCGACGGGGGCGGAAGGGGAGGGTAAAACCGGAAGTAATTTCATCAGAATTTATGCTCAAACAGCTACTAAATATAAAATTCTACCATACCATACCATTCCATATTTAACACGGGTTTTGTGTGAAGAGAGAGAGTCAGATGTCAGAAAAGAACTTATAAACTTTTTAAATCAATAACTGAGCTGCTATAATAAAAAGAAGAAGAAGAAGTTTAAAGCAAGGATTATGTAATCAAGTAAAGGAAAGACTAAAGAATGGCTGATAACTGCTTCTTTCTGAACACATCAATCAGTTTTTAAGTGTTTTGATAGTAACTGCCTCGGAAAATTTGTGAAGAATTGAGCTACATCGCCTTCTGATAATTTCAAACAATCTCACAGTGTTCATCTCATCGCCCTTATCAAAGAGATGCTTGACATCATGTCACCCTCATGATTGCATCAAAATCGCTTTTCATCACATAGACATAACTAGTTTCTGTTTTAGGCTGTAGGCACCTGGTGAGAGTCCAAGGAGACAGACGATAGTACCATCTCATTACGCACACACACACACACAGACTGTTTCGTTTACCCTTAGTCAAAAAACAACATACCTTATCGACTAATATATTAGGATATGATCCAACCATATTCTCCACTGTACCAAGTTTGATAGGTAAAGTATACGCTCTTGTAAATAGATCGGTCAAGTCAATAGTTAATCCTCTAGGATGTACTGAATGATCTGTCTCGCTGACTACTTCAATTAAATACGGCATTTCATCGAGGTGTTGACTTTTAAGCTGTGATTGTCTTACCGCCTCTTTACCATTGTTGATTGAAGAATTATTCAGGGGAAGTGGAACAGCTGTAGCAGAAGCAGTAGAAGTTGGCACATCTTGATGCTGAACTGGTACATGTGGATAAGCAGGAGGTGGTAAGGGTGGTCGTTTTCCCTCTTTACCAGGGATATGTCGATGTCTTATTTGTATAACATTCGATACACCAAAATTGGATCGAATCATTTCACGGAATTTCAGGACACAGTCTTTATCATGCAGGGTGATCTCTTTGTCTACACTGTGACTGTAAAAAAAAATAGAAAAAAGAGACGTAAAAAGAGCATAAATAGCAATATAGGGACATTTATAAGCGAAAGGTATAATTGGTAACTCAATTAGTAAGTTAAGTGACCGGTTTATTATTATCCTCAGTTTGTATGCTATTTTGATATTCTCCCCATTAGTTGGGCGTATGATTGCTTATAATTTCTTATCTCTTCCATGCCATCCTCGTCGTTTCTCATCGGTATTCCATTCAAACCATAGCCTGCACTAAGCGCCATGTCATTCGACAGCGTCCTCAGAGTATGTGCAACCAATCCACCTCCATTTTACTTCTGCATACTTGTTGAGCAGTCGGCTCTCGCCTGTTGGTTGGTCTGTTCCACTGCAGAGCTCCTTGTTGCTAATTCTTTCTGGCCATTTGATCTTTAGTATAGAGCCAGCCAACGAAGTGGTCAGCTGTTGGTAAATATCAGCAGTAGACTGTTGGAAATGCATTTCATGATAAGCCAAGTTTTTGACCCATATAGAAGAACTTGACTGACTCAACATTGATGTTGAAAAAATTCGAATCATTTTTGTATATTTTTTTAAGTTAATGCAGAAGATCTCCATAGTGACTTCGAATTGATGGGGGGTGTATCCCTCCTTTCCGATTCTGACGGTGATTGGTGCTGGTTGTTTTCGTTGTTGGTGATGATAGTTATCTTCATCACCTCTGTTCGTCTTCTCTATGTTCACCTGGAGTCCTGTCTTTGTTGACAGCCAACCTCTTCTGCTAGTTTGTTGGTTTTTGCCTATATGCAAGTCTTCCAGTTTGTATGTCATTTAACATAACCTGTCCTCAAAATCGATGATAAGAGGTCACGACTGTGTACTGATGAAGAGTCTCAAACTAGGACGAAACACCTTTTTAGCACTCCCCACTTGTTTTCATCGGTCCTCCTATAACTGATATCAGTCAAGTTGAGATCAAACTTAAAGTCAATTATGAAATCCTTGTAATCAAACACTCCTGAAAATGAGGAAATTTATTATACTATGGGGTTATCATTACTGTCAAGTCTGTGTGGAGGTGAACAGTACTCAGCATGAAAAATAACATCTGGATTTTCAACTCCAATGTGAAGTCAGTCAGTGCTATTCACTATACGGATCAGAGACTTGAACTTCGCGTCATAAAGAGCATCTCAAACAAACTATAGACCTTCATCAACAGCTGTCTTCACTCAATACTTCGCTCAAGATGAGATAGCTGGCCAGAAAAGATCAGGAACAGAGAAGGATATCTGGCAATGAGCAAGCCAACCAGGAACCGATTGTGCAACAAATAAGCAGAAAGAAAAATGGAGGTGGATTAGCCATACTCTGAGGAAACTATCAAGTGACATCACAAGCCAGGCCATTGCTCGAGTGGAACCTGAAAGGGAAGCGGCAAGTTGGTCGTCAGTGCAAAGGTGACTTGGAGGAGGTCATGCAGTGAAGAGGAGGCGAAAGTGTGTGCGCAGACTTGGAGTGGGGTGAAAAAGTTGGCAGAAAACCGAACGCAATGGAGCCGCACGGCTGAAGCCCTATGTTCCTCTAGAAAATTAAAGGATATAATAATAGTAATAATAATAATAGGGTTTTCAGAATGGCATGAGCTTCTTTAAGTACGTCGGTGGCACAGTGGTTAGGAGGCTCACTGACCATACACATGGGCCAAAGTTTGATCTCTAGCCAGAGACGCACTCATTTACCTCGCTGAGCCAGTAATAAGACTGGCAAAGATGGAAAGCCGGGCATGAGGCTAGTAACCCCATCCCGTAAAAGTAATAAACACCACTGCTAGAGAAACTTCAAAAGAGCTTTAGCTTGAAGGAGCTCTATGTTCCACTGGGAACGTGAAGGAATAAACAAAAATGAACTCTTTTCGAATGGTATCAAATGACATAATGAGTGAGACTAAAAAGAAGTTTTGATTTTTGATTTACAGCTTGATTCCACACTGTATTTTCGGTACAAGTATGGAATTTTCAGCATGGATATCGGTAGCCCAAATTTTGCAGGCCGACCATAGATATCAGGTGTGCGTCGGTGCGGGCTCGAACCCCGGACCATGTGCATGGTCGGCGAGAGTCCTAACCACTGTGCCACCGACGCACAGTGGTTAAACTCACGTACCTAACTATGCCTACATCCAAAAAATATTCTATATATATATATATATCACATAGCAATAAAACTTTATCAATCTGAAATTTGAGAATATTGGTGTTGCCTTATTTTTCATAGTTTTTCAAAAGTTAACTTTCGAAATAAATGTTTCCTTTTTTTGAGTGAGAAAAGTGTATGTACGCATGTGTGAGTGAGTAAGTGCGTGAGTGTTTTCGTGTATATTTATTTGTACATTTCAAAGCATAAAGTGAAAGTGAGTGATAGATAGTGTGTACACCTGGCAAAAATCTCACTGTAGCCTTGTGTGTATCTTTGCATTGAAAAAAAAAACGTTTACACTTTGGCTTACATTTCGATGTTCTTTTTTCTCATAATTACAATAGTTTTAGGGTTTGAACATAAACTGGAGAGCTGTTTCGTCCTAGTTTCGTACTCTTCAGCAGTAGACATGTATAAACATACAGCTAAGAAGCGAACTTGTAATATTCAGATTACATGGAGAGCTTTGCCTGACCATTCACTTGCTGAGATGGAAGCTAAGTATCTGCTTTTGATTTTTCAGGGTTCATGCATATTGTCCTCGAACCTCTTCTGCAATTATCTTATCTCTATTGAACTTAGTACTACTTCTATGTTAGGAATGACATTCTCTGGTTTTAATTTACTCATTGTTACATTGAAATTTAGTCCTTTCTCAAGTACTTTTATCTCACTCATTAGAGCTTAGTTCCCTTGATGAGAGAGGTTGATCACCCATGTTGTTCTGTCAACAGAAGATGAAACGCTGACGTCAGTTTCATTTATTGTGTTCTTTTCTTCCATTAGTTTGTTGAATTTTTTGATTTGTGTGGTTTTTGATTTTCTTAACGCTGATTCTCTAGCCTTTCTGGATGTTTCAACAACAATTATTACGAAAAAGAGAAGACGTTCAGCGAAGAGACTCTTTTCGGCGAATTATTACGCAATCTTTGTCATTGACCATTCATTTGAGTTTGTGTTAGGGTTTTTCGATTTCACTTCGTATATTATTTAGTTTTACAGTAATTCGATGTAGTTCTTCTCTTAGACATAATGCGCTGACATGTTCAGCTGCTGATTTTATTTTTCTTGAAGTAATGGGAGTACGTATGCGTAAATATTTTGGAATTATATGATTGTTTTTTAAACATCGACTGTTAAAAATCCGATGTTTTGTGAATCTTGCTGCTGTTTGAGAAAGTCGTGTGAGTTTATTGATAAGCTTCCTAAGAGGAAGACCATATGTATTATTGATATAAGTATAAATCTCCATAATGGAGTTATACTCTACCACAGTGCCCAAGTTTTATACTTAAATCTAAGTATCTGTCTTCATACCCGATATGGTGCGATCCATTAGTCACGACTTATCACTAGAACTCCAGGTAACTTCATCGTGTACTTAGTCATCTACACACTAGACAGCAATAGGTTGATTTCCAGGGATTTGATAGACTACGAAATGATTAAGAAACTAGAAAGGAACAACTGTCATGTACTCCTTGAATTCCTGTGGTTTTCTTACCGAAGTCAGTTCGAGATCTAATTTGAAGCGACATTCATGTAAGGTAGATGGAGAAATTCTATATTAGTTTGTTTATTAGATGTATCACACACCGTCTGTGAAACAGTATTATTTACTGGATGACACAGTTTCGAAGAAAATTTATTGTTTATAATCATATCAGTTGTAACCACACGACTTCGAAACTTGAGTTTTATCGTTTTTTGTCTTCTCCTATTTGTCGTCTTATGGGTAGTAGAATTTTCTAGATATCTGGGACAGGTGTTGAATCATTCTTATTACACGTATTTGCAATTGGTTCGATAAACAAAGCTTCTGGTATCAATCTCTCCCTTCACCTTGCTGTTACATTAGATTTTCAAACTGTCATCCTATCGCATCCAGCCTATTGTATGGTTGTGTGTGATTGCATGTGGTGTAGTGCTATAGCTGAACTATTCTCTAGATTTCTTATTCTATTTGGGTCAACCAATCTAGATTTTGCTGCAAGGTTTTTATGTTCTGCTAGTCTGACTGACTGACCCTGTTCTACTAGTTTGACCTATGTTTTTGACCTCACTGACAATCATTGTAGGTAGGATATTAGATAAACTAAATTTTTTCGTTTTAAAGGCTCCACAGGATAGATGCTTTAACTGACAAAGCATGTTTCTAATTGAGTTTGTGGGTGGTTTGAATAGTAGAAAAGATTTGTAGCTCAGGTGGATGATTTGCAATTAATGGTGTTCTCTGAGCTGGTTGGTTTAGTTGCGGAGCTTTCATCGTCCATCTGGACATCAACCCCTTTCAGTGCAATATTTAGCATAAAGGGAAATGATTTAAATTTCTTCATGAGTAATAGAATTGCGTCTACCAGTAACCGTCTTTACATACGTGTTGACCAGTTTCTATTCACTTGGATTTTAAACTTTCTGGTCACCTGATTTACATTTTATTAGTTGGTATATTTCGTCTATATTAACGTGTTTGTTAATTGCATATTCGTTTGAGTACCAAGCTTCTAGGAATTCACACTTGGCACTCCTTTTAGTGTTTCTTCTGTCTAAGATTTCGACATTTTCTCAATCAAATTGATGTCCTGGGTGGTTTGAATGTCAGCAGCCACTTTTATTCCTGTTTGTCTTGTTAAGAATTCTGCATTAGGTGGTTTCCGAGGTTCCTTCCTTATATAGAATTACTGCTGATGATTTAGATTCGAAACTGTGTCATCCAGTAAATAATAATACTGTTTCACTCACTGTATGTGATACATCTAATAAACAAACTAACATGGAATTACTTACTACGATAGTGTCCAAGTTTTACACACATATATACATTAG